CCCAAGACGGCCCCAAGAGGCCCGAAGACGGCTTTAGACTGTCGGGATTCGAAACAAAAAACACCAGATACTTCTCAGAAGCCCGCCGTCCTTCTGAGAAACCCTCCGTCTTCCAACACTTCTCAGAAAGCCAGCCTTCGGAGAAGGTCCGCCCCTCTCGGTTCCCCCCGGCCTGCCGCCAAAGGAGGCGCAGCAGAAGAAGCAGCATGAGGAGCAGCAGAAAAGGCAGCAGAAGGAGCAGCAGGAGACGCAGCAGGAGTACCAACAGGAGCAGCAGCATCAGGAGCAGCAGCAGGAGCACGAGCAAGAGCAGCACGGGCATCAGCTGAGGAGGCGCAGGAAGAGCAAAAGGAGGCGCAGCAGGAGGCGCACCAGGAAAAGCAACAGGAAATTCCCGCCAGCCTCCACTCTGGGAGCCATGATGGCAGCAATCCATGTCTTCAGGGGAACACCTTTATACACACAGCAATGCCGATGTACACCACAGCAGCCGTCTGCACCGCAACGCCTGTGATTATTGACGCCACAGCTGCTGTTTCAGAACCCCCCCGCGTGCCCGCGTGCACCACACTGCCTGCGTGTACCACATATTTTGCGTACGCCTCCACGGTCCCGACGGAGTCGAAGTCCGGGAAATTGCTGGGGGCCCGAATGTATCATATCGAATATTCTGATCTGATTGTGACTATTTGTTTTTTTCTGGCCCGACGAACGCTTTGGACATTTTGGGCCCACAACGAATGTGAAACACAACGCCTGTGTACGGAAATGCAAAGGGCGGAGGAGGAAGAGGTGCGAAGATATGCGTGGGCCCATTCTAGCCCACAACGCACGCTTACATCGTCGTAGCGACCTTGCGCACTACAGCGATTGTGTACACCACGGCGCCCGTGTACACCACAGGGCTTGTGATGTGTGCACCGCAATGCCTGCGTACACCCGTTATGCCTGCGTACGCCACGGCTGCTGCAACAACGACAGATGCGTACGCCAAAACGCCCGTGCACACCGCACTGCCTGCGTGCACCTTAGTGCACGCCCGCGTGCACAACAAACCCTAAACTGCCCGGGATCGCGCGCTGGATCGGGGCCGGGGCGTTACCGCCACGGGGGTGGGGGTGAGGGGAGGGGGGGTAACATGCGTTATCCCTCGGGTGGATCAAGCAATGGTCTCGTTCAGACTGGGGACAACATACAAGTTGGCAACACCGTTTTCAGGGACAACATGCCGTCACGCTGGAGTTGGAGTTGTAATATTGTAACCACGCGGCGAGTCTTCTTCTTCTTCTTCTTCTTCTTCATCGGAGGCAGAGCCACCCCTCCCCCCACGGCGACGAGGGGGGACCGCCTGGAACACAACACCCGTTCGGGCCCGCACGTCCGGTGGCGTGCCGCCTGCGCCAGCCGAGGAGGCAGAGACGCCGGCAGCACTGCCTGGGCGGAGCAGGCGGTGCAGCAGGCTCAGGCGCGCTTCCTGTCGTACCAGGTCTTGCATTGGCGGCGTGCACACGGGGGTAGGGGGAGGGAGGAAGGCTTCTCAGAAGGAGGCTGCTTCTTAGAAAGCGCTGGCCTCACATCTACGGACAAGGCGCGCGCCTTCTCCTCCTCCTCCTCCTCCTCCTCCTCCTCCTCCCTCCAGTGGGTACGTGCAGTCCGAGGGACACTGCACGACCCACCCCGTCTCCTCCTCCTCCTCCTCCTCCTCCTCCTCCTCCTCCTCCTCTTCATCACCATTCCTCCGCGTCCTAGTTCATACGTTCCGAAGTACGACTCAGAGGAAACACGCCTAGTCCTCCTCCTTTTCTTTTTCCTCCTCCACCTCCTCCCTCCTAACTCCAGTGGGTACGTGCAGCCTGAAGGACATTGCACAACCCACTCCTTCTCCTCCTCCTCCTCCTCCTCCTCCTCCTCCTCCTCCTCCTCCTCTGGGCCATATTCAGGCCTGAAGAGCCCGAAAGTGACGACAATAACAAATCTGCCGATGACCCGCTCGGCTTCCGACATGGAGGTGAGGAACCCACACAGAGGGGTTCCCCGCTCGAGGCGTCCCCGACCAGACTTCCTCCATGTTCAAGCCTTAGGAGCCCACCAGCAACGACACTTGCAGGATTTGCACGACCCACTCGGATTCGAACATTAAGTGCCGGCCCTATATGGAGGGGCTCCCGCTCGAGACTTCCTCGCGACCACTCGGACCGAACACGAAATGGGACCCCCTCGAGGTTTCTCCGGATTCAGGCCTGAGGAGCCCAACAGTGACGACAATCACATGATTAGGATGACCCGCTCGGATTCGAACATGAAGCGCAGGCCCCATAGGGAGGGGCTCCTGATCGAGACTTCCTCGCGACCGCTCGGATTCGAACATGAGGTGGGAACCCCATTGGGAGGAGCTCCTGTTCGAGACTTCCTCGCGTCATTTACATACGATGCTTTGGCTCGAGACTTACTCCATACTCAAGCCTGAGGAGCCCAAACGTGACGACAGTTACACATTTTCCGACACCCGCCCAGATTCGAACATGAGGTGGGAACTCCATAGGGAGGGGCTCCCGCACGAGACTTCCTCGCGATTCACTCACAGACGAAGCTCTGGCTCGAGACTTCCTCCATACTCAAGCCTGAGGAGCCCAAACGTGACGACACTTACACATTTTCCGACACCCGCCCGGATTCGAACATGAGGTGGGAACTCCATAGGGAGGGGCTCCCGCTCGAGACTTCCTCGTGGTTCACTCACAGACGACGTTCTGGCTCTAGGCTTCCTCCATTTTCAGGCCTGAGGAGCCCAACAGTGACGACAATCACATGATTAGGATGACCCGCTCTGATTCGAACATGAAGCACGGGCCCCATAGGGAGGGGCTCCCGCTCGAGACTTCCTCGCGACCGCTCGGACCCGAACAAGAAATGGGAACCCCATAGGGAGGAGCTCCCGTTCGAGACTTCCTCGTGGTTCACTCACAGACGACGATCTGGCTCGAGGTTTCTCCGGATTCAGGCCTGAGGAGCCCAACAGTGACGACAATCACATGATTAGGATGACCCGCTCGGATTCGAACATGAAGCGCGGGCCCCAGAGGGAGGGGCTCCCGATCGAGACTTCCTCGCGACCGCTCGGATTCGAACATGAGGTGGGAACCCCATTGGGAGGAGCTCCTGTTCGAGACTTCCTCGCGTCATTCACATACGATGCTTTGGCTCGAGACTTACTCCATACTCAAGCCTGGGGAGCTCCAAAATGACGTCAAACATACGTTTTGCTGAACCCGCCTGGTCTCGACCATGATGTGGGAACCCCATAGGGAGGGGCTCCTGATCGAGACTTCCTCACAACTCACTCACAGACGACGCTCTGGCCCGATACGTCACCCGTATTCAAGCCTGAAGAGTCCACCTGGCCAGATTCGAACATGGACGGGGTGACGGCATAGGTAGGGGCTCCCGCTCGAGATTTCCCCGCGGATCCTCTCACAAGCGAGGCTACCCCTCGAGACGTCCTCCATATCCAAGCCTGAAGAGCCCATAACTGATGACAGTTGCAAGTTTTCCGCAACCCGCGTGGACTCGAGCATAGAAATGAGGACCCCGTAGGGAGGGGCTCCCGCTCGAGGTTTCCTCGCGATTCTCTCACTGACGAGGCTCCCGCTCGAGGCTTCCTCCGCATTCAGGCCCGAGGAGCATAAACATGACGACAGTTACAAGATGCGGATGGCCCGCTCGGATTCGAACAAGGAGGTGGTGACCCCATAGGGAGGGGTTCCCGCTCGAGACCTCCTCGCGATTCACTCACGGACGAGGCGCCCAATCGAGAGGTCCTCGAGATGCCTGTGTGAGTGTGTGGGTAAGTGTGAGTGTGATGATAATGACCGATGACCATGGCGGGATGATGATAGTGATTATGATGAGGATGACGATGGAGTGATGGCGATGATGAGTGATGATGGCGATGCCGAGTAATGATGATGATGCTGATGATGCTGATGATGATGATGATGAGGAGGAGGAGGAGGAGGAGGTGAGTGTGAGTGATGATGTTGCAGCTGATGATGATAATTATGATGATGACGCTGACGATGATGATGGTGCTGATGATGGTGGCATGGTGATGAGAGGAGGAGCGGGGCTGCGCATGAGGTTGCTGCGCGCGGTGTGCGCAGAGAAGCAATAACCCCTCTTGAATTAGATGTGGGGAATGATGAGGGGGGTGACATCGCCTGCCCGGGGGGTCCAGAGAAAACAAGAACCCCACTCTGAATGCGGGGAAAGCAATGTTCTGAGAACATGCAGGCGACGTGCTGAAACAAGACGGTCTCAGCCAGAAATGTTCTAAGAGCATCCCGCGCAAGCCACAGAAGATTGTTCGAAAACTCTTTGGCGGGCCGAAGGGCAAGCCCGGACGCCCGGTCACTGCTCGACTCTCCGAACTTCCGCTCTTGGCCGAGATCTCGTCCCCTCTCGCGGGCGTGGGCCCGACGTCGGAGACGGGAGGGCGTATGAAGACGTGGGAAGAGAGGCCGGGGGCCCCCGGGGGGGGAGGAGGGGAGGAGGGGAGGAGGAAGGGGAAGGAGAAGGAGGAGGAGGAGGAGGAGCGAAGAGGAAGAGGAAGGAGGAGGGAGGAGCAAAGAGGAGGAGGCAGGAATGAAGAGGAGGAGAGAGGCAGGCAGGGAGGGAGGAGGGAAGGGGAGGGGGGTGCGGCAAGTGAGTCCCGCTCTCAGCGCGCCAGCAGCACACGGAACTGACGGATGGGGCGAGATCAAGCGCAACTCAAGTCGATCAAGCCGCAACTCAAGCTACCAAGTGCCCGATCGGTCCGCCCAGAAACGGGGCAGAGAGGAGGAAGCTTGCGCGCTAGGACGAGCAGGAGGAGGGGACGAAGGGGAACAAGGGATGGGAGGGAGGAGGGGAGGATTGGAAGCGTGAGGAGGAGGGAAGGTGGAGGAGGGGGCGAAGGAAAGCGCAGATGGAACGGGGGGGGGAGAAGGGATGGAAGCAGCTGCCTGCCGGCTTCGCACGCCACGCAATTCAGGTCCGACCTGGCGTTGACCTGGTCGCTCCACCTTCCAGCCGGTCAGCCAAGGGGGATGGGCAGGGTTCGAGGTTCGAGTTTCTTTTCGGGGGAGGGGGGGGGGGAGGGGGCGAGGATTCAGGATTTGGGGCGCTCCTGGCCCCTTCTGGCCCCTCAGAAGCCGCCAGGGGCCTGCAGGAGCCTCCAAAGATCTCACGGGAACCCTATGGGGACCTCTGGAGACCTATGGGGAAGGGGTTGATGAGGGAAGAAGTGGAGGAGGAGGAGGAGGAGGAGGAGGAGGAGGAGGAGGAGGAGGAGGAGGAGGAGTGGAGCAGGAGGAGGAGGAGAGGAGGAGGAGGAGGAGGAGGAGGAAGCGAAGCGAATGCGGGAGTCGTATGCACTCCTCTTAGGACATGGGGTGGAGGCCGTGGCCTCAAGAAAGAAGAGAAGAAGAAGGAGGAGGAGGAGGAGGAGGTGGAGGAGAAGGGGGAGGATGAGGATGAGGATGAGGATGATGATGATGATGACGACGACGATGATGAGGATGATGATGATGCTGATAATGTTAAGTATGATGATGGTGATACTGATGCTGCTAATGCTGATGCTGATGCTGATGATGGTGAGGAGAAGGAGGAGGAGAAGGAAGATGAGGATGCGGAGGAGCAGGAGGAGGAAGCGAAACGAACGCCGGAGTCGTTTGCGCTTCTCTTAGGGCATGGCGTGGAGGCCGTCGCCTCAAAAAAGAGGAGGGAGGAGGAGGAGAAGGAGGAGGAGGAGGAGAGGACAAGGAGGAGGAGGAGGAAGAGGAGGGGGAGAAGGAGGATGAGGATGAAGATGAGGATAATGATGATAATGATGATGATGAGTCTGATCATGACGGTGATGATGATGACGAGGATGATGATGGCGATGATAATGATGATGCTGCTGATGATGGTGGTAATGATGGTGATGATGATAATGATGAGGAGGCGGAGCATGACGAGGCGGAGGACTGGGTGCTAATTAGAAATGATGTGTCTGCCCACCTTCCACAAGCCTGGCAAAGACGAACAATCGGCTCACCTACCATTTTACAGGGCACGCCCTTCTACCTACCCGCCCACGAAGCATTCGAGAAGCAATTCCTGGAGGCACTAGAGATCACCGCGGGTCATCCGATCAAGCAGATCTCCCCGAACGAGCTGCCCACAGCCCTGCTCCCTCTGAAGGAGAGCATCATCACCATCGATCAAGTGTTCTCAGAACTCTAACGTGCTGCGGGGTGCTTTGTGGTGGCCAGCAAGGCGCCCCAAGGCATCTCAGTCCACGGTCTGGGGGGAGGTCGCCATTGTGGGTGATTCTCCGAAGTAAGGCTTTGCTTGGATGTTACAGTATCCTAAGGGGCTCGCGCTGGGTGGAATTCTGACCACCTTCTAAGCACTCTATGCAAGTACAGTCAACCCAATGTCTCGTGATACACGTGGCCAGGACTCTGAATTGGCGTCGCAGCGTCGTTCTGATTCCCCGATGGCGGTCTGGGCTATCCGAGCGCCCTCGCTGGCACCGCAGCAGGTACATCAGCCATCGTGCTCAGTAGACCCCGCTCTCGCAACTTGAATCCGACGTCGAGAAGTCGTGTAGTCTACACTCGACCCAAACCAGGGTAACTTTGAAGCAACGCTAGATAAGACATGGTTTGGCTATGTGGAGTTCTCTACTTGGTGGTGAATGAACGAATGAACGAGAAGGGGGGAGGGGATGGGGCAGAGGAAGAAGGGGGACCTCCGCCCTTCGGATTGCGTGGCCCACTCCGTTGCCGGTGCCGAGTCGCACAAACGTTCGGCGGTGTCCAACCTGCACGCTCACGCCGAACCGGATTACACCGAATAATGTAAACACACGTCGGGAATCTGCTGACCCGGGTCAATCCCAGACCTGGGTCAGTCAGGCCTTGCAGAATCCTGCACGATCCTGCACCCAAACCCGGGTCAACGCGAAGGATCCTGCAAAATCCTGCAGGATCCTGCACCCAAACCCGGGTCAAAGCGACCCTTTCCTTGCAGGGTCCTGCAAGATCGGGCGCTCTGGCTGACCCCAGTTTACATTGACCCCCGTCTCAAGGCTCCCGAACACGAGTGAAAGGAATGAGCCCAACCAACGCCAACTCAAAACGGCAAGCGTCTGTCCAGAACGCGTCCCGGGTCTCTCCTCTGGGGCACTGTCCTGGCCAGCCGCTTGCAACAGGAGGTGGAGGACGAGGAAGAACAGCAGGACGAGGACTTGGGGCCGTGGCGGCGAGGGAAGCCTAGCGAGAGCGACCAACATGAAGAGAGAAAGAGACCGCACATCAAATCAGTATGGCCTTCCTCCTCCTCCTCCTCCTCCTCCTCCTCCTCCTCCTCCTCTACTGTCTTGTCTATCATGTTGCCATAGTTTGTCTTCCTCCGATTCCCCACCCTCTGCTGCTCCACAATTACACAATATGAATACTACTCTCCCACTTCCCCTGATGGCGTCCGGAAGATATTCGGCACCCCCCCGCGTACTGTTTTTTTACACACAGGATTCCCCGGAGTTGGGTTTTCGCTTGTGTTTTTTTCTAAAATGCTGCTCTCGCTGAGGCGCTGGCCTAATTTTCGGGCTCCCGCTCCTTCCGAATCGTGTTCCCGCTGCAGCGCTGGCCTCATTTCCGCGCTCCCGCTCGTTCCGAATCGTGCTCCCGCTGCAGCGCTGGCCCAATTTCTGCGCCTCTCGTTGTTCCAAAACGTGCTCCCGCTGCAGCGCCGACGTTTTCGATCCTTTTTAAGAAGCCCCAAATCTAGAAAATGATCCCCGGCAAAAACATTGGAGGTGATTACACATCCGGTGTCGATTCGTTGATTTTTGGGGCCGCAGAAAGCCCCCCCCCCCCTTTTGGGCGGCGTCCTTTTCCGCACAGGATTCCCGGGAGTTTGGTTTTCATCTATGTTTTTGAAAATCCGAGTCTTTCCGGTCCTTCAGAATGTTGCTCCCGCTGCAGCGTTCGTCCTATTTTCCGCGCCGCTGAACGTTCCAAATCGTGCTGCCGCTGCAGTGCAACGGTCCCCGGCCCCATGCTATGATATGCTCCGCTCCAGTGGCGTTCTTCGGCTCTTCAACAATGATGCTCCCGCTGCAGCGTTGGTCCCATGTCTGCGCCTCTGCTCATTCCAAATCGTGCTGCCGTATTGTTTTCTTGGCACTACGGCACTCTTCGGCTCTTCAACATGTCGCTCCCGCTGCAGCGTCGGTCCCATTTCTGCGCCTCTGGTCGTTCCAGATCGTGCTGCCGCTGCAGCGCATGCGTCCCGCGTCCCATGCTATGACATACTACGCTCAGCATTGCTCTTCTGCGCCATGCTATGACATGCTACGCTCTGCAGTGCTATGGCATGCTACGCTCTGGGCTCCATCGCTGGTGCTTTCAATTGTGCTCTCGCCTTAGCGCCTTTCCCCTTTGCGGCCTATCTTACACATAATCCGCTTCCGACCCCCCTGATCCTTTTCCACCTCTTTCTTGTTCCTCCTGATCCCCCCCAACCTCCTGATCCTTTTCTTCCTCCGCCTCCTCTTGTTTCGCCAGCCGTGTACCCCGACAGCGAGTATAGGGACCCCGTTGGTTTTCAGTATCCCTGGAATCTGGCTTCGTTCGCCCTGCACCCTGCGGTCGTCGTTTTTTTTCGACGTTGTCGTGTTTGTTTCGATGCCTCACTACGCAATGCCACAACCCGCTATGACATGCTACGCTCTGCAGTGGTTTTCGCGATTGGCAGTTTCTACCTCTACCATTACTCAATATGAATGCACTTGCACAACTCTGACATCGGACCCACTCTACCATTACCCAATATGAATGCTACTCTCCTTTCACCCCTGCAGAAATTTGAGATCCGGGTGGGGGACGCGCGTAACGGCAGCGGGCAGCTGGCGCGGGTGCCGCTCCGGCGCGGTCGCGTCGTCGTCGTCTTCGTCGCCGGTTGTCCTCATCGTCGTCGTCGTCGTCGTCGCCGCCGTCGTCGTCGTCGTCGTGGTTGTCGTCGTCGTCGTCGTCTTCGTCGTCGTCGTCTTCGTTTTCATCGCGCCGTCGTCCTCCTCCTTTCCCTCTTAGGTAACAGGGTCAGATGCGAAGCCCGATTCGGTGAGAGGACAATGAAGTAGCTCAATGGGAAGGGATGGGAGGGAGGGGTAGGATGTCAGATGTTGACGCGAGCGCACCTAGCTTGTCCTCCCCCCCTCCCCCTCCTCCCCCCTCCCCTCCCCCCGTTCCGCTTCCCCTTCCTCTCCCTTCCTCGTCCTCCCCCCCTCCGCCGTCCTCCTCCTTCTGCTGCTCCTCCTCCTCCGACGGCGAGCTCTTTTCATATAACCCTCGTCAAAATTAACCTCAAAAATGTCTGACGTGTTTGAACTGCTTGTCGGAAGATCTGGGGCCGAGTATCGATGAGTGCGGGGTACTTGCATGCGCCGCCCCTCAGAGTCAACTTCGAGTCAACTTCGGTCAGACTATCTTTGCCCTCGCCCCGACATTAAAGGGGCGACGTGTCGACATTGAGGGGCGCGCCGAAATCGAAGTGACGTGCCAGCAACTGTTGAGGTTAATTTTGACGAGGGTTGTAGGGGGGACCGTGTCGCTGGCCCACGGTGCGGTTGGCTCAAGGCCGCACCGTGGAGGCAAAAAGGTCCTCTAAGGAGGGCCTCCCCTGTTTTTTTTGGCTGGGCCGTCGGGCCTCTCCCTCCTCTCTCTCTCTCTCTCGTTTTTTTTTTTTCTCTCTCTCTCTCTCTCTTTCTCTCTCCCTTAAGTGGCGTGCGATACTCCTCCTCCTCCTCCTCCTCCTCCTCCTCCTCCTCCTCCTCCTCCTCCTCCTCCTCCCCTCTGGAGAGGGAGGGGGAGGAAGGAGGGATGAGGAAAGAGGGAGGGGGAAGGAGGAGGGGGAGGATAAGACGCTGCTTGGCGCCGCCGCGCGTCCGTCTGCACCGGCGGGCACAAGAAAGCGAGGGCTGGCAAGGACGCCTCCCTCAAGGAGCTCCGAGCGCACCCACGCCCACCCA